CGCTGTTGTAGCTTATTAAGAGTTCATGGTTCCACAGGCCTGCTCCCTTCCCCAGCTTTCACATACTGTACATGAACATCACCACGTCTGGTCTCCTCTCTCACTGAGTTAATGAAAGAGAAGGGGCAGGCATTAGTTCCATCATTTACAAGTCTCCATTATCCACATTTCCTTGTAGAAGTATGAAAATTAATTCACTGAAGTGCTATTCCCTACTGAATTCCTGGCGAAATGGAATAAACTTCAACCTGCAATCAACTGTAATTGCATTATGGGGTGAGAAGTGGGGCTACAGTGCATTATTCTGAAGCAAGAGCTCTATTCTTGCAGGGTGTTTCAGAAATGTGGCACTATGTTTTATGGATGAAAACTGTTCAGAGGCAGACTTCTGGAGAAGGCAGTAAGGATCACCTGCCTTGTCTCTGTCATAAAGAATGAAGGCAGTGAGGGAGGACAAAACATCACCCATCCAGTCGCAAGCCTAATGCAATATCAGGGTAGTAATAATAATAATAATAATAATAATTATTATTTTTATTATTATTCCTTACACTTATATAGCACTTTTCTGGACACTCCACTCAAAGCGCTTTACAGGTAATGGGGATCCCCTCCAACACCAGCAGTGTGCAGCCGGAGTGCACCAGTACTCTCCCCACACACCAGCGCTCAGTGGGGAGGAGAGCAGAGTGATGAAGGGGGATTCATCACTCTGCTCTGATGGGGATTATTAGTAGGCCAATGGGAAATCTGGCCAGGATGCCGGGGTAACACCCCTACTCTTTCAAGAAACACCCCGGGATTTTTAATGACCGCAGAGAGTCAGGACCTCAGTTTTACATCTCATCCGAAGGACGGCGCCTTTTTACTGTATAGTGCCTCCATTACCATACCATACATCTGCAGCTGAGCTGTTTGCCGACTTGAATCCTTCACTGAGCGAACAGATGGCATGGTTGGAAGTTTGTTTTTTCCACCCCCAAGGTTGAGAAGGAAACACACGGGATGGGATGCCAGTCCACCGCAGGGCAGGCAGACACAAACACAGACACGTGGCACACACTCACAAAAGGGCCCGTTTTCCCAGAAGTCAATTAACATACCAGTATGTCTTTGCACAGCGGGAGGAAGCTGGAGGAAACACAGTCTAACACAAGGAGAACGTAAAAACTCCACACAGACAGCGCCTCAGGCCAGGAACTGCACCCCAGCATTGAGATTCAAGCCACTGCGGCACCATGCAGCACCCCCATAGGAATAATACTTTCTTGATATCTGGCGGAAGCAGGGTGGACTGTGCGTACCTTGAGAGAAACATGTGGCACCAGAAGGGCTGCTTACTCCCAGAATTCCTCTGATGGGCCACAGCTCCACGTTCTGTCCTCCCACAGCTCCCACACTCATTCTGGGGCAGTGTGCTTGATCCAATCTGTCTTTGCTTTTATAACCCTTGCCAGACTAGCTGTAGTAAGTCCTCAAGGTCATCAAAACTGCAAGATTCACGAAACAAAGGTGTGTGTTTACTCACCAATGGGCTCAACATTTGTCTGCTACCAAGTTCAAAACCCCTTATCAGATGCACCTGATTTTTAAACATCTGCATTGTCTTTCCCTGTGTTTAATACCTTAACTGGTCTTCTTTTCTTTCAAAATGTAAGATGTGTGCTCATTGTATACACTATGTAAACACAGATAATAAAAAATACTTTACGATCAGTGCATGGTAAATTCCTGAGTTTGCTGACAGAAAATAGAAGTCATTCTTGTCTGGAAAAGTGATTTAGGTCTATAGGATGAGAACACAAATGTAACACTACAAACCAAAATTAGAATATTTTCCAAAAACTGCCCAATGAAACCACAAGGGCTCCTCTGGCAGTATGTTCTAAGAAAAACAGACCCCAGGAGAGATGTTTCGAACTGACGTATATTTTATCTCCAGTGTTGCGAGGTACAGAACATTCTTAGCTCCTGAAAAAATTGGAAGTCTGTAAAAATACTGCTGTTTCTAAGGACAAAACCCACGAGAACATAAACCATTTTGTTTAAAGGCTTTCTGTCTTATTACGCTCCTGGCTAGTATTTGTTGTCAAAACTACTTAAACGTTAAGAAATTCCTTCGCTGTATCCTGCAGCATGTCACAACCTTTGCTTGTGAGAAACCGATTTCCTGGCCAGCTGACTTCTCTTCCTATTAACTGTAAACCTGGCATGTCGTCACTCACTCACAGAGCACAGAGCTGCTGGTACAATCTGGATGGAAAGAGTTACATTTTTCTTTCCTTTCTTGATTACTCTGTCCGCCAAAATGTCATGGTGTGCCTGAAGTTCAGAACAAGGGGACTTCATTATTCACAAGAAACAGGATACAGGTGCCGAAATCTTACACATCTCCGATATTGCTATTTATTGCTATGATGTGTGTGTGTGTGTGTTTTATCGGTTTTATCAGAACTGTCACCAGTAGAAGAACTTCCGTCCAATCCAATATATTTCTGGAACAACATTCCTGTGCAAGGCGATCCATGAGAGAATTTCCCTTGGCATAGCAACTGTAATAGTCTTTTTAGGTCACTATAAATAAGTGACCTTGACACAGGACACTCACTACAGGCCTCACTGATGGCCCCAGATTATAGCCTTAGACTGGCCCTCCGGCACAACAGCATCACAGTAACTAATGGGCAGTTAATGACCTCCAGCCTAGTCAGCGGAGTGAGAGTAACGCACTTATAAACGAGTACTGCAATCTGAAGCACATTGTGGGAGACCACTTTAGCATCATGGAGTGCGTGGGTGGGAGGGTGGTTTTGAAAGCAAATCCATACCCCAGGAGCTGAAATTACATTCCTGTTCAGGTCGAAAAATTAATTCCATCTTCCTGTGATGTAACGTCAATCGATTGCATTCTGCACATCTGTTCCAAAGCAGAGACGCCATGCCTCTCTCCCACAGAGAGAGGCTCAGTTTCATCTAGTAGCTCCTTAGACTGGACCTGCCCGAGCTGGATGCCCGGTTTCCTAAAGTGCTCACAACGTGCTAGTCTTCGCGGTGGATTCAATCTCAGCCATCCATTCTAATGGCTCTATCCAATACAGGGTCGCGGGGGAGCCTATCCCAGCAAGCACCAGGCGCAAGGCGGGGTGTACCCGGGACAGGACGCCAGTCCGTCAGAGGGCACACATGCACACTCACTCACATCAGGGCCAAATTTTCCCAGAAGCCAAAAAACCTACTAGTATGTCTTTGGACTGCAGGAGGAAACCGGAGCACCCAGAGGAAACCCACGTCAACATGGGGAGAGCTTCCAAACTCCACGCCAACAGCACCTCAGGATCAGAATTTAACCCAGGGCCCCAGGGCTGAGATCCAGCAATTCTACCCAGTGCACAACCATACAGCCCGGACTCAGCACAAAAACTGTCAAAATCAACTATCTGAACAGGAGATGTCCTTCTGACCTCGTATCTTAAATAATATTTCTGAAAGGACAGGCTCGTCTCATGGTTTCTCGTCTAACGTTAACAGACGCCATGCTGCAATGTGCACAGGAGTGTGATTGATGTCGAGGTCCGATCGGCTGTTCTGTCTGTGAATCAGTTATAACTAAGAACACCGATGACTACAGCTGGCTTGACTGAAACAGCTTTTCCCTAACTTATCGTACAAGTAATCAGTACCACTTTGTTACTGGGTGTGCCCTCTCATCTGTCCAGCTCAAAATAAACTCAGGAATGGAACACAAGGAGGAAAAGGTAACTTGAAGAAGAACTGATTAACACAGAGAAGACAATCTGGCACCAGAAGTCTTAACTGCACACAGCTCAAAGTACTTCCATTTGAGTACAGACTGTGCATCTTCAACATCTGTACTGCAACAACACGGAAAGTCATCCATTCAGCAGCTGTTCAGGTTCAGGGACAACCTCACTGTGTCCATCTTGCTCACTTGGTGGTTTAGTAGAAGTGCAGCTAAAATGTCCATCCATCCACTCCCTTCAGGAGTCCGGAGTTTGATTTGGCAGGGAAGCTTGTTCTAGATCCCCGCAGCTCTGTTTTGTTCAAAAAGAGATCCAGCTGCTAATTCCCTGAAAAGTGGGACAAAAATCTCTTAATTTACAACTTCAGATTTGTACAGCAGCCTAAGTACATGCGGTAGCTTACCTGAGTTTACAAGTGTGGTAAAAGTGAAAGAGAGAATATGGGGACTACGAAAATGTGAAGACTGCGAATATGTGAAGACCTGCGCTGCATGGATTCACCAATTCAAACCGAACCTTTAGAGGTAAATCAAAAGTGCACCAATGTTAGGTTTGTAACATTCTGCATTCAGCTGCAACAAAATGATCAAGTTATCACCGCCTCAGACCAACGACCTGCTCCACCTGAAATCACTGGCGAATCGGACTGGATTGTGGATGCAAAATTCAAGAAACCATCTAGGGAAAATATACCCTCCTTGGCCTCTAAAGGCAACCAGAGACAATTTACCGGAGCAAAACCTATTTTTTTTATCTAAAATAGAGAAACAAACAAAAAATATCAATAAACAGTAAACACTAGCTACTTCCTACCTGCAGGCTGCAATTCTGCTTCCCACTAGAAATGAGATCCAAAGAGAAAAAAATGAGGTATCAGATATTGAAGAAAAATGGGTTATACTACTCCTTACATATATTCGCAGTTCTTATTCAATGCCAATACATACCTTACCATATGCAGGTATGTATGCACATCCTTGTGCTCCAGCACTGAACTGGGGCTGGAACATCTGTGAGGTCTTGGGGGCTAAAGAGAAGAATGTTTCAAGGAACTAATTTTAGGATGCACGGTGGGGACCCGTTGAACAAAACTGGAAATTAAACTGAGTGCCAAAGATGCATTTTTTGATTACATTCAAGTGCTAGGGGAAAACAAAGCGGCACAATTTGCTTTTACGAGGTGGTTGCACAATAGGAACGGATAGGAAAGGCCAAAAAAATGACAAGCATGCGGAGGTCTTTATTATATTTCTTTAATATATTTTTTATAAAATGGATATACAACTCTGAGAAAGATGAAAGAAGATAAATAAAGGGATAGACCCTCACCAGCCACACAGGCACCTGACGCACCGCTGCAACCCGTGCTGCATGGCCACTGACCCGCCAGGGCTCCCTCATGCAGCTCAGCGCACAGAGCAGGACTCGCCCTTCACACCCCCCCCCCTGCTGGCAGGAGCGGACCCGCCCTCCCGCCGCCCGCCCCTGCTCGCCGGGGGACGAGCGGAGAGCATTCGGATGTGCGGCTGGAACCTCCACACGCTAAGAGTTCAGCTGCACTGCATTACATCCGTCGCCAGCGATTCTGGCGGACTTCTACACCTGGAGGTCCATGGCCCTGGGGCACGCTTTTGGCTTTGACAGGCCATGAATGACATTCGATTCAGCGATTCAGGCATTTGTGTCGTGAATGACTCCGTGCGAGACGGAAAGCCATGACTATAAGGGGCTGCTGTGTGAAAGGCAAGCTTTCCTGGAGATCCGAGCTTTCGCTTTCTCCCCCTGTGCGCGAGAACGAACTATAAATCATAAACCTGCAGCGTGGCTCGACTTGATTCTCCTGTTGTCCTGCCGAGCACATGCTATAAACAGAAGTAAAACAGAAGCAGTCTTTCCTCGGTGGGGGGCAAGACCTGCTACTGTCTGAGACTGGTGTTGGCAAGATGAGGTACTGGAAAAAACATGGGTGGTGGGGGTCTATCCTTTTTTCTCCTGGTTTTAAATAAAGCAAAACGTGATGCTGATACCCAAAGACACTGCAGCTCGCTCCGTGCACAAAGATCTCCCTGTGACCAAAGACACCTCGAGGTTTGTGTCGGATTGCTGGGATGCCGATTCCTGGGAGCCGGACGCTGTCGGCAGCCTCGGCAGGATCCGGAATCCAGAGGAGTGTTTTTCGGTTTTTCTTTCTTTCGTTTCAGCGTCTGCAGAGGCGGCACAACAGGTCCGGGGGGGGGGGAGAGCGGAGATTCGGTTGTGCAGTGTGAGGTCCACAGGCCTGGACACGCGGGACCGCCGTCATCATCTGGCGAAGCGCTTGATAAAATCTTGAACTTTACTCCGAAAATCCTCCTGGAAAGAAACCATCGAGATGTTCATGAAGAACTAGAATGAAATGCTTCTCCTCAGATCGCATTTCAAGGGGATCGATAACACCCTAAGAGACATAAGGGAACGTCAATTGCAGCCACTTTGGTATAGTGGAACAAAACGGCAGAAGTAACACACCCATGATCTTTCTGTCTCCCCCAACTTTTGCTATAAGCAAACAAAAACCACAGTTATTCTGGTTCCTACCTGGTTTGATGGTCATACATTTTTAATCTCAGCTGTGCTCTTCATTACTAATCTCAAATGATGATCAAGACCAAACTTAACATGAGAACTCAGTTTATGCTCTTTCGTTCTTATTTCCTGTCGTTCACATATGACACAAACTGCAGGAACACAACCACAGCTTTTTTCAGTTTCTTGCGAGGCCTGCGAGCCGAGCTGAGGATTCTAATGCCGTAGCCGGTGAAGGCCCTGTGCTGCGCACAAATGTCTGCACTCCTATTTTAAACATTCATGACTTTTAGGAAACTGCTGCCGAACCGCAGAGCTAACACCTAGCTGCAGCGCAAAGATGGTTTTACCTTTGATGCCAACACTTGTTAATTGAGTCTCTGAGGTTCCCAATTAACCCTGCAAAAAGGCAGCGTAGCGCAACATGACGTGACAGGCAGCCCGTTGTCGCCTGGGCGCAGATATTGTGCGCAGATATTGTGCGCTAATACGCATCACCGTTAAAATGTGCTGGACTAGAAGCTCATTACGCAGAAAGAGGACAGAGCGCTGATCCGCACCCCGCTCATTAATCAGGGCTGATGAAGAAGAGAGCAGCAAAGTGTGCCTCAATAATGAACACGGCTGGCAGACACAAACAGCTGCGCAAATGTTGGGCAAACTAATTTCTCACCAGAGGGTGATGGGACCAGTGAACTGTATCGGTGGAGATGAGGAGAAATGAGGCCTGGAAACACTGGGTGCCAAGCGAGAGACTGTCAGGGAGCTGCAGAACAACCCTGTGCTGTAATTCACTGCCTCTTCCATCCCTACGCTGGTCCGATTGGAGGCAACGTCGGCTGAATCCTGACGGCTCAGAAAAGGGGAAGAAACTGGAGCAATGAAATCTGAAACCATCTCCAGCATGGAAACAGGGTCATGTTGGCCTATTATGCCTGAAGAATGTAAAATCTTCTGCATAATCTTTTTTAACAACACCCTGTGGACAGGAACTGCTACCCATTTCAAGTAAGCTGCTTCGAATGATTTGACCAGTTATATCCACACTCCAGCTGTGCACAAAAACACGCAATATAGAAGATCAAAACGGGCAGGGAATTCCAGATTCCAGGGGGCTTCCAAAATCCTGTGGGAATTCTCACTGATCGACCTCTGACCCTCTCGCTGAAGGCCTACACACACATATAAGCAAGGAAAGCGTCGCCTGTACTGAAGGTCAGAAAGCTTACCAAATAAACGTTTTAAAATTCCGTTTTCATTCATTATCGGCAAAAAGGACAGCTAAATACAGCAAATGAAGATATTCTAGAAAGAAGAAAAATAATGAAAATATCCCCCAGCGTTAAACGTATTTGTGAGTGCAGCTAGGCTGCGTGTGCAGGCAGGGGGCCTCTGAGGAACTCTTGAAGCACGAAGCTGGCTGCACACTGGCACCTGTTCAAGAGCCCCTCTACCCCTGACCTTTGCCAGGGTCTATTTTTAAATATCGTCCCATAGCTCTTTGAGAAAGCTCGGGATAATCTCTGCTCAGTAATTTGGCAGGTGGAAATTCTTTTTTAAGACAGAGGGTGAGAGAATTCGTAGGCTACTACTGTAGGAACCTGCAACGTCTGTGTCCGCACAGGATGGTTTTAAACGGAACAATGCAACCTGATATCTATTAAGTGGTTCTCAAGTGAGAGAAGGGCATGTACTGTTCTGCAAAGGGGGTGTACTGTACAAAGACAGTCAACAGGAGGACATCTGGTCCACTGATACTGCCCCAGTGGCTATGAAGTAAACCTCAGCTAAATCTCATTCCAAATCCTCACTGTTAACAGTCAATGTCTCCCGTTCAGAATCCAAAATCTACCCTGATCTCCCTGCAGAGCACGACGCAGTAACCGAGGTGCATGCTTTACACAGCCTGCAAATCAAAATATGAAAGTGCCCAGTCGATTTTAAAAAAAGAACGAATTTTCGTTATAATGAAGCACACATTTACATATTCTGCAGTTATGAAAAGATCTTCCTATGATTTTGCTTCAAGGCATCTTCTTTGCTACCTAAAGCACGACTATCATCATTGCAGGTCCTCAGGTCTTCTATGTTCCTAGACGTTTTACACATTCATCTGTCTTATTAACTGCTGTACTCATGTAAACAGGGTAATTCTATTAACCAGAAAATGCAGCGATTGTTTAGAATGGATCAGAAGGTTTCACGTGCAAAGTATCGGAAATTTGTTTTTCAGTTAACTAATTTTCACCTTCTGAACAGTTTTCAAAAAACAAATCACATTCATAAGTTGAGAGAAGGGTGTGCAAACTGGACCTTTTCAAAGCACTCCTCTGTCAAGGCAAGGAAGACTACAACAGTAACAGAAAGTTCTTTAAGCTGCTCTTCATATCAAGCTGGAATTTCATATCAAACATTCGCTATCATGTATTTGTTTGTTATTTCTTAGTAAAGTGAGGTTATGTTTCTTTAATGCAGAACATAAGTCTCTCTTCGCCCTTGAAAGAACAAATGAGCCCCTTGCTCTACAAAAACGAAAGCTGAAGATAAAGCAATTCCTCCCAAGGCTGTTTAAAAATGCAATTCATAACTGGCTGTGCTCGGGGTTTATGCAATATGCCTTAACTGCCATCTGTTTAGTGTGCACAGTGCTACAAACAACATGCTCATCTTAAGGAGGCCAATTGGTAAGATTATTTTCAAACAAGCACCTAAGAAAAAGGCAGTAGAGTTGAATTATTAACCGGTGGCGTCCTGTGGATTCTGGATAGGGACCTGTTGAGGAATCAGAGGACTGGGTGTTTTCTGGTAGATAACAGTGGCAGCTCAATGGAGAACTGAGGAAGCCAAGTGAAGCTTAAACTTGGCCTGCAGCCACTTCACTCTGTGCTCAGTATCCTTGGGAAAGAAGTAAGGAGTGGGGGGGCTGCGCCACATATCCTATTCCCGAGTCCCTCCGTCTTTCCGACAGCAAGGATCAGGCGGGACTCCGCGCGAACGCTTAACCATGACGGACCGAGCGCCTGTTTTCGGGATGAACAAGAGCCAAACTGGGCAACATCAAGGAATTCTCAGCAGGATCTACTGAGAGAAATTAACGCTGCTCCCTCTTTCGGTTTGGCAGCTTTGCAGCCTCTTAGAGAAAGAGAAATAGAGGATAAAATTGGAGCGGTTTTTGATGTTGCAGGACAGGAAGAAATCCGGAAGCTGCTCTGAAGCTAGAGCTTCAAGAACATAATGCCTCCAGCTCAACTTCTGAAAAACTCTGACCGCAGAAAAACTCTTACATAATGCCTCGGCAGCATTTCCATCTGACACTAGCCTTTGAATACGCTAGCCATCTTTACTTGAATAATTTGCTCATCTGTCCGGCATGTCAAGTAGGAACAATTATGGCAATTAAGAACCCGTCAGAAGACTCGGGTGAATCTGTAACAAAGAAGCTGTACACGATGTAGATGAGAGCTTTTCAAAGTGAGCAAAGTGCTTTTTTCTGCAAGAAGGGAGAACAGAAAGGACAGCTGTGATAATTCCCCTTTCCTGCAGCGCACGTCTGCATTGCGAGAGACGCCGAGGCGGTTCAGGAAGGCAGCAGGAGTGTAGTGAGGAGTCGCTGTGTGTAAACCCCTGTTCCTTCAGCGCCTGTTAGGACGGCTGTGAGGAGGCCCGACATGACTTCACTCTCACGAGTCTTTCTGAGGTTTACAGTATATCCAGGGCGAGACAGTGCCAACTAGCACAGACCCTTGAACAGCAAAGATGCTCTGTTTTCTGAGCAGAGCTGAGAAGGTGATTAAAGATAAAATGATGATGCTATCCCAGAAACTGAGAAGAGTGGCTTTCCGTTGCATTACAGGTACATAAAGAGTTTGACAGCACTGCATTTAAATTATATTAAAAATAATGATTTTAATTAAATGAAGCAACCTCAAAGGTCACTGAGGTATGATATATAAAGACAGCTTTAAATGACACACTCTAGAAAGCTGTAACACCACCTAGTTTTGTTGTTTTATTATTTTAGGATGTAAGGCAATGACCACATAGCCACCATTTATCCACCTGACTTAGTGTTCCCATTAATTAAAAAACTTATCAACCGTGAACAGAAATGCTAAGAAATACCAGAGCTTTGTCAGGTTCCACATTCCACAAAGCCGCAGCTTAGACTGGAGGTTTGCAATCTAAAAAGTGCAAAACAAATAAACAGGATCTGCCCGGGGTCTGTTATTGACAGCAGATGTCGCACACCAGTAAAGATACCAGTCGACGCAGGATTTAACCCTCTGGCCTCTTCCAGACAGGCTCCTGTCTGAACAATCCTTGCCATGCAAACAGCAGACTCCAAGGAGACTATTTCTTTGCCGTTATCTTGCTGGTGACGTCTGGGTATCTCTGTCCTTCTGCTATTTGTAGCCCCACAGATTCACTCCTCTTTCAGTCCCTGTCACGAGATGCCACACCCTGCACATCTCAGAACTTGTACATGCAGAGAGGCACGGACTCACACTGTCCCAGCCTCCTCAGCAACCGAACTGTCCTGCAGCATACACGGAGTCTGGTGTCTTTGTGTGGGACGTCTGCTTTGTGAAAGCTGGAACTTGTCCTGCGGCCGGGCCAGAAGGGCGGGGCAGTTCGTTACAGCCCCAGGATGGTCTCACCTCTTCTCCTTTCCAGGGCTGTCTGTCAGCATAACTGCTGTGCTGACAATAGGGACGTTAAAAAAAAAAGTACCTGAAAATACCTGTCAGCAACGCACATAGAGGAGGCATGTTTCAAGTTCAAGTTCA